CTTCAGGTGAATATAGAGAAGACAGAAGTGATGAAGATACCGCACCACCACCATCAACAACAACAACAAACTCCAATCACCGTCAACGGTAGAAACTTGAAGGAAGTAACCTCCTTCACTTATCTAGGAAGCACTGTTTCAACTACAGGCGGGACGGACGAGGACGTCAAAGTCAGAATCGGAAAAGCAAGACAGGCATTCATTAGCCTGAAACCAGTGTGGAGATCTTCTGCACTCAGCATGCGGAACAAGATACGGATTTTCAACACCAACGTCAAGTCAGTGCTCTTGTATGGCTCAGAGACTTGGCGCGTCACGAAAGGCATTTCCAATAAACTACAGACATTCATCAACAACTGCTTACGCTCGCTGCTGAAGATCAGATGGCCAGAAAAAATAAGCAACAAGGAACTCTGGGAACGAACCAACCAAGAACCTATCACGCAACAAATATGCAGGAAGAAGTGGAGATGGATTGGGCATACACTGAGAAGGCCGACTGAGGACATCACGCGTCAGGCCCTCGAGTGGAATCCCCATGGGAAGCGACGAGTTGGACGTCCGAGGGTGACATGGAGGAGGTCGTGCGAGGAGGAAATGAGAGCTTCTGGGCTGTCGTGGAACCAGGTTCAAAAGATCTCAGAGAACAGAGGTCACTGGAGGCGTGCTACTGAAGCCCTATGTTCCACTAGGAACCCAAGGGACTAATAATAATAATAATAAAAATCGACACACCACCACTTCACTCCTTATCATTAAACTGGGAGTGCTTACAGTAGACCAGTCCTGGAGTATCATCTCACGTTTGACGGGTGCGAAGAGTGTGTCAAACATGCTCAATGCTTCCAGAAGGTCCTGGATTTCACCAGCGTCTTTACCTAGCAGGACAACATCGTTTGCATACTACAAACCAACCAGATGACCTCCAGGGAGTGGATCAATCTATACGAAGTCAGACCCACCGAAGGTGATATCCAGTGGTACGTCTATAACAAAGTTAAACTGGGACGGTGGACATTCCTAGCGTACACCACTAGTCATTAGTCCAAATGGCGACTCTCCAAAAGCACATAAGCGGCTGCGTAAGTTCGAGTAGAGAGCTTTGGTAAGCATATATTTGCTCGTTGTTTTAAAAGTCAGATACCTACAACACTTGGCGGTCGACAGAGTCAAATGCCGCCTTCAGGTCAAGAAAGTTGAAAGGAAACATATCTGTGTTCCAGAACCTGTTGAAGGGAGAAAATCTGATCGATGCATCCTCACTCAGGTCTGAAACTTGCCCATTTTTTCTGATCTCCAGTTAGGTGTCGGATAACTATGGATCCTAGGGTCTTCTATACAAACTAATTCTCCTATCGTTGTCACAGGAAGACTTCTCTCCGTTCTTGCAGACTAGGATAATCAGTGAAGTAGAGGTGTAAGGGGACTACCTCTGCTTCCCATATCTAGCACTTCCGTCACTTTAATTAGCTATTCCCTACTCTCATCCTTGAAAACGTCCGGACCTGCTGCTTTGTTAACCTTCAGATGTAGGTTACCAACTGTCTTACCACTGTTTCTATAGGCGCCAGGTTTTCTCAGGGCGATCCTTCCTATCACGTTCAGACAAATGCTTAGCTAACTCCTCTCTTAATATATACTTGGCGTCCTCATTTTCTAAGGTAGGACAGACAGACCTTATTGTCGCCTGTTTCCTGCAATTAGGTATATACATACAAGGGCCTGTATTGACGCATGATCGAAGTCCATCCAGGTACTGTACAAAAAGTGACAATCATGGGACCTCTCCACTTACGGCAACATAATGCGTCTATGTCTCGTTGGTTTGATGTCGGCGGACACTACATGAGATAGTATCTCTCCTTATGATTAAAGTTAGTGCTAGGTAGAAACAAGTGATTGTCGGAACAAAATTGCATCAAACGACCACCGTTGTCGGTTGGTTGGCATGCTATTCCGTAAATACTTCTCAGGTACCTTTCTGACTGGCTCAGCTTCCCTACTTGAGTGTTAAAGTCACGTGCTATTAGGACAACATCTGAATGACTTTCTCTAACAAAATTTACAGATCCTCATGGAACTCATCTTTTGTATCACCTGAACAGGAGTCGGTGATTACAAATAGGAATCAGTTGGTCTCACGATCCTGCCTGGTTCTTGCAGATCCTTTCAGTCGGACAGTACATAAACGGTTGTTGACTGGTATCCAGTTGAGAAGTGCACCTTCTGGTCAGGGGGGGGTCAATTTAATAACCACACTCATGTCCTGTGTTTCAGAGACACAGCATGCATCCCTGGGTAGAGATTCCAGGGTTTTGCCGAGCGATGTTTGCTGTTCGGTTTGGCAGAGTTCGTACTTAGAATGCCCCAGTATAAGAATCGATTATGAGGTTTAAACAGACTAGGAATGAAGTTCCGATGGCTTTGACCGTTGCCAATGGTTGTAGAGTGAGAGGGTAGATGAGGCGCAAGAGGCTCAATATTAGTATCAGAAGGTGGAGGCAAAGAAAGAGACAGTGTTGAGGAGAATAGGTTATGTTTGATTGAGTGTTTTGTACTACTGGGTTCTTCCCGGCTGCCCACATAGTAGAGGGCTATTCTTCTTAAGGCACATGGAAGAGAAGGTTTATGTGACCGCATGGGACGTCTGCTTGGGGTCTGTCATACGCGGCCTTTTGTGGGATGTTGAAGTTTGGTTGTTCTAACTCCAGTTAGAGAAGACCCATACCACCGGCACCAGAAGACCGTGAGACAGGGTGCTATTTTTAGGGCCGACCTTTTCAGTGTGGCACTGCTCGTCATACAAGGGAAACACTTTACCTTTGTCACGTCCCCATCCAGCAGTATGACTTCGCCCTCACACCCTCCACCATAGCGTAGCAATTTACACTTTATTAGTAAAGGCTTTTTGTCTTATCACTACCCTACAGACCTTTCTGGTATGGAAGGAATTTGGTAAACTAAGTTACTCTGCCTAATTGGATCAGTATGATCTTTTAACATACAAAGCTTATTTCTGAGTCAGTTTGTAGGTTAAAATGCCACTTTAATTCCAGTCGGCCTTACTGAGAGTCCTACATAGTATTTCTGAAATGCCCTCTTTGTGTGGTTATACTGTAGAGGTTTTCAATTTTCCTTCCCAGTATTGACACTATCATTATTATTACTACTATTAACACCGGTGCTACTCCTATTAGTTATACTTTCCTTACGATTCTCAAAGAACTAATCAATTAATTTGAGAGGGTAATTGTTGATTTGTGTTTAGTGTATCTGGTTTCTTGTCTAAGATCTGTTTTACTAGTAATTTTTCTGAACCTGTTACTCAGACATTTTACCAAATCAATTTTAGCTGAAATAGGGCGAGATGATTTGAATGTGAAAGTTTTCTGTAGACACTGATGTCTAAATTCCCATATTGTTCCCTTTTTATTCTGCAATCCAACATCGCTAATTCGCCTTCACTATTTTCTAGTTCATAGGTGAATTGAATTATGTTGACTACTGGATTTATTTATGTGAAGAAACTATGTATGTGCTCCGTTTTCAACACTGTAAACGTGTTGTCTACATTTCAAAACAACACTTTTGGAGCCGAAATAAATGTTTAGACAACCATCCGTTCCCAAATATTCATAAATATGTTAACCATGATAGGGGAAACTGGCGATCCCATGGCAACTCCTTCTGTTTGTTTGCATATTTTATTCTGAAACTTAATTATTGTGGAAGTTAGGCATAGCTTTACTCCTAGCATGATATCATCTACTGGTACCTTAGTTCGTAGTGTAAGCTCATTGTCATTATTGGGCTCGTTTTTAACTGCTTCGAGATCCATACCAATCGGTATGTTAGTATATATCAAACCAACCATTTTTTATTGTCATCTAAATGTATGTCATGTATTCTGTGCCTTAAGTCATGACTAGTAAATGCATGTTTACTTCATAACTAAGGAAGTAAACTGAATTATGCGCTTAGTAAAGTGCTTGTCGTGCATTATTTGAATTCAAAGCTCTGTTTACTTATATATTCTGTTGTTTGCATGCCATCAGTGACTTTTGTTTGGCTATCAGTAATACAGAGTTTTCACTGTTCAAGTAGAAAATTTTTTATTTGATCATATCAGTACATCAAGATGCAAGGTATTAAGATGAAATATAGAGAAGGAGGAAAGGGAAATCCAATGAAAAGTTGTAGAAAGTCATCAGAGCATAGAAGGCGGTAAAGCAAACAACGGAATGTGATATGGTTATTTAAACGGATTTACGCCAGTAAGAGATCGTTTCTCGACCATATCACCTGATATCTGCAACCATCGATGCCAGTTTTAACGTGAACCCCAATTGGGTTGTATGTTAAGCTCATAGGTAATTCGACCACATATAAAGGGCTTCTAAACAAATAATAATGAGAGTTACAGTGAACATGACAGTTCAGTGGTGACCACTTCCATAATCTTAGATATTTATTTAAACGCGTTCACTTTTGCTTTAAATACCATGACAATGCATAGGTGTTTTCATCCTTATTCAGTCAAAATATCTGATTTGAGTTAGTGAGATTATAGAATACATATGCTGTTTTGTCAGCTTTTCGCAATTAATTTTTGACAAGTTTTATATTTGTTTGATAGTTGTATAGTACTTTAGTCAACAACATCACGGAAATAAGATTATCTTTACAAGAAAATCAATCCACTTGTAGATTAAATAAAGAATTTTATAGGAAATATATTTCCTTTACCCAGTGCTCAGTTTATTCAATACTATCCGGTCAAATTTAATACTGAAGTCTATGAAATATAAATATTTGCATTCACCTTTACATTGTTTATCAACTTTTAATATATCAATCTTGTTAAAACTCACACCATCAAGAAACAAAAAATGAAGGAAGAAATTGAGAAAAATTAGAAACGGTAAACTATACCACCTACATACAAATCAGCGTTATTTATAAAATTTATCCAAACATTTTTTATAGGGTTATAAACATACCTGCTATGAATATATCTCGATTGAATGCACCAGCGGCTAGTGCAATGCTAAAATTAAACGTATAAAGTTATTGACTCTGTTTAAGTGGTGATTTCGTGAATTAAGCAAAAAGATTATTTTTCAGTAAATACAAAGGGAACAAATATTTTGCAAAAAGCAATGAAATAATGGTGTACAGTGATTAAATTAGGCTTACATTGGTGAATATTTTTCTCAGTAAATCTATAACTTAGGGCTTATTAATCAGATCATTGTAAATAACTTGAGGTGAATTGTAATGCAACTGATAACAGACTGTAGTTCAAAAGTTCCTTATATCTTGTTATATATGTGCATGCAAACTGGATATATATTCATTCAATCAACCATGCATATAAGCTAAACAGTGAACTATGTACTTTTTTTATGAAGGTTAACACTGTTGCCTATCTATTAAGATCGTTTTAGTTTAATTGGGTGTAGATATATGCTCTGCAAATAGAAAGTTGGTTGAGTAGGTAACTGGTCAGTAAGTCTACTGGTGTACTTGCTCTATGCTAAATGAACAACATTCATTACACGAAAGGATTTTACCACCGTGGTTTAGGAAAACTGGCAATTAATTGTATTCATTTAAGCTGGAATGAATGGATCATTGTCGTTTCTTTACTAATCAACTTCTTGTAGGACATTCGTAACAACTATAGTCTGGGTGTTTATCAATGAATGTAGTGTCTGAATGTAAATTTTACCAAAAGTGATTTGTATTTAACAACGAGATGCAAACTATCTGTGCCAGTGCAGAAGTATTGAATTTTATATCCCAAGAACATTTATGCTGTAAAGGTAAAAAAATCGACAATTAATCTCTGATCTTGTTTACACACTTAATCGTGTTATGTTGGACTGGTACTTTACATTGTTTAGTCTGTCTGACTTCCAACTATGATACGGGCAAAGTGTTTTGTCCATATTACGCCTAACAAATAGTGCAGTTTTCGATGTAAACAGAAAGGAAAGAGCTGGGTTACTCCATAATGATAACAGAAAATGAGTTATAAAAGTATGTTATTAGGAAATAAAATATACTCGGTACAGCTTCTGTTTGCATTCTACTGCCACTTAAGAAATGAAGGAGATTTAATGTGAGTTCTAAAAGTATTCACAAACACCATAGTCGATCACTCTTGATATGTTACATAACTTAAGTGTTCAGTAGACATAAAATCACAGTGCGTCTAGTCGGACTTCGAAACCATCCACTACACATTAGGAAAGGGTAAACAACAAAACCACGTTAATATATTGCTCAACTATTACGGAAAAGTAAAAGCTAATCGTGAAATGTAAAACTTGTGAGCTCTATTACTGAACACCTGAGATAGACCTAACCTACCAACAATCTATTGATGGCAGGCAATAATTTTCAACGTACATCTTTAGGAATGTATTATGTAGGTTAGCCTTTTGACTGATAAAATGATTGGTGTAGATAAGTCACTCAATCTAAAGTGAAAATTCTAATAAATGAAGTTTCTAAGTTTCCTGAAAATCTGATTTCTTTAAAGTGAAGGCAACATTTAACGTTAGTAAAAGCTTTTTCATAATTTTAGCCAACAAGTACACCATTTAAAAAAGATCGACAATCAAATACTAGCAGCTTCTTTTCGATCCTCTAGAAATCACGTTTTTGACTACATATTGTATGAAAAAGAGGGTTTGCAGTTAATGCTAAGTAAATCAGTAGATAATACGGAGAGAAGAGAACGCTAACAGACCTTTTCGTATCTATTTTGAAATAATACTCCTACAATAAAAAAAAATAGGTTTCTTTATGTTGCAAACGATGTACATTAAAGCGAAGCTTGGAGACGTCTTGTTGAAAACAATATTGTTCATTTAAATTTTTTATTTCAACTCGCACACTAGTTAATTTTGTTAAGAATCACTGATAAATATTTATTTATGGTGGATTACATAAAGAAATAGCGAATTACGATATTTTTGTACTTTTATGTACATCGATGAAGTTCAATTTAAAAGCTATTGGATAATTTTTATATCATTTTAATGTATTAGTTATGCGCTACGTCGACTTCAACTTACTTATCAGATCCAGGTTTTAAAAGTAGACTGAACAGTGCGAATACAGGTCTATGATCTGATGAACGTATTGTATTGATGCAATTATAGTCCAAACAGATTAAACTTTCTTTTCGTTTCGACATAAACAGTATCCTGTCCTGTGTTAAATTGAATAGATATGTTAAGAAAATAAACGGAAATGTAAAGCAACACTATATATAGTTTTATGCCGTTCAAGCTTGATGAAACTCCGATATATTTACATCTTGAACATAAATTTGGATACCCTCCGACCAACCTGATCCAGTTCTATAGGAACCCAATCGTGACCCGAATAGCTCAGCAGTAAAGTCTCTGACTGCAGTAGTAGTGGGTGACGCGGTTCGAGTCATAAATGGGACACCAGTCCCGTAAGGGTTGCAGATACGCCTTACTGACGAGTGTCAACAGGCGCAGAGTGTAGGTCCAGGACTTCCTGTCGATTGTCTCCATCCAACTAACATCTAAACTTAAAGTATCCCTGACGTAATTATTATAAAAACTGCCACTACAATGTGATCATTGGAGTTTACACAATAAGGAAGACGACATACGAAAAATAAAATTGATGATCAGAGGTAAAATAAGAGCATGAAACTGTTACGATAGAATGTGGTTTGCATAGTTTTTCTGCGTTTTCAATTACTGACTTTCTTAGATTTCTCGAGGTAAGTGTACATTTCTCATCATAACTTAGGCCGAAAATAAATGACTCCAATGATCGATCCTGTGTTTCATTGGGAAGTCCTTCACAATCCTTGAATTGTAGCAACCATAAAAGGCTGAGGTAGACAGCGAATGTGTGTGAATAAAATGCCTCATAGTCAGTGGATGCTACCAACTTTTTAATTAATTTGCCTATCCATATGAGTCCTGTGTCGAAACTTTGAATCACGCGCTAGTTAGTTCCATTAGGTATAATAAGTCCTATGCAAGCTGTACTGGTCGAAACTTTGCACAAGTTTCATATCACTTGTCTTTGACACCTAGATTTTTTCTATGGTTTACTAAAATAATAAATAACGTTTCTGTGTTATGCATGTAATTGCGGGTAAGCAGCTGGAAACCTCAAAGACCGAGTTTCCTTATTATTGCAGATGTCTCTTCAGTAGACATCTGATCAAGTTGAGTGAAGCCTCCTAACTAGTTGAAGAGTCTGTTTGGTAGTAATCAAGGAAAATGCAATAAACTATTTAATGTTAGTTGAATTCTGTCCATCTGAAAACATGAAATCAAATGTAATGGAGTGACAGTCTTAAGCTATGGCGTCACTCACATTTCGGGCTCCTGGTTCGAATTCTTTCGCGACTTAACTTTAGTTAACATTTCATTGCATTAAGGTTATTTCTGCAAACTAAGGCGATGCCAAATAGTTTGATCAATATAAGAGATTACTGGGATGTTTGGTTAGATTTCAGCTAGTGAACTTTCTGTCCGTGCCTAACCATAACAACAAACATTTAGCTTGGAAGATTAACTGAACTACTATACAATCAATATAATGAGATAAAAGTAACTGACGTAAAAATGGCCGGTAGAAGTTGGTTAGAACATGAAATTGGTTACTCTCCAGTTTTAGTGGGTGCTGCTGATCAGAATGGATATAAGTGGTATATGTTGAGAGGGCGGCAGAAATCATAGGCAATTACTAGCAATGGGTAACGATTCTGCCCAGAAAAACGCGAGACAATGTGGGCGTAGTAAGAGCAAATCGAGATAGAAGCAGAAGAAGAAATGAAGCACATTGTTAAAATGACTGCTTTAGTGGAAAGTGTACAACATTTGATGACTACCGTACAAGATGTTAATAATAAACATTCCTTCCTGTGTCTCATTATTGTCGTTTCTTACACAGTGACTAAGCAGTGTACCTAACTGTCAAGTTGCATGTTATCTCTGTGATGACCAGTATGCATGCCTGACAATAAATCAAGATTACAAAGCTAACATTTACACTATCGAAATCTCAGTACTGTCAGGAAAAAAATCAGTCAAAAAGTTATCTTGTAGGGGGTTTGCCATCTGAATAGAAATTTGAAGTTCAGTTTCGTTTTTCTTCAAGACCGAACAGTTTCTATTCACATAGAGCTACTGGTTACAGTGATGAATTATCCACTATTTCAGTTTTCAAATGAGATTCTTGCATCATCACTTTTTAAGTGAAACCAATAGATAAGTAAATCATAAAAAATAAAGTTTCCATTTTTACTACCAATATGGAATCGGTCGCATACAAACCACACCTCTCTTCAAGCAAGGCAAAAATGAACCATCATCAAGACTTATAAGGACTTTTTTAAAATGTTTTCTGAAATCCAAAACTGTTGTCAAACTTTCTGACTACTATCTAATATATCTGAGTCCCTACAAGTGTTAAAAATTGATGCATACAATTCGTTAATGATGACTGAAGTTAAAAAAATACACCTAGTTCACATCAGATTGAATCTAATTGTTTCCAGGTAATAAACTTAATGCCCCACTAAGTGATCGGCAGATCTCCATCTTTCGTCCAGAAATCGACTAGTGTAGCTACTAACAATGCAAAAACACCATTGAAACTTTCTCGACTGCAGTGGTGAGCAACAGAGGTTTACTTTTCTAGAAGATCTTTAGCTTTACTAATCATTACCTTATCTAATGTCTTTTGTCATTAATTGTCAACCATTCAATAGTGACTGAAAAAATCTTTCAAGAATGTGATGGACTCAAATGGCTTTTGATGATTTACACAGTCGGCGCAACATTCGACTTTTTAACCAAGTCCGGAATATGCATCGCAGCAGTTTGGTTTGTCTTACTAAATAGCCATCAGAAGGGAAGAACATGAGGAGGCTTGGAGTGTTCAACTGCCGTTTTCTTTGTAGCAAAGGTAGCTTATTGTGGAACCACCATATTTGACTGTTAATTCGATTCATGTAAGGAAATACAGACTTCTAGGTTAGGGGTGCCGAGACGACCGAAGTCACTGGTTGGAGACTTTAAGTGATGCGGGTAGTTAAATAGATGAACTGAAGTACTGTTTATTAGGTAGGGTGAAAGCTTTATTCAAAAGAGTAAAATTCTTACTAGGGTTTTGTTTTGCATTATGTATTTGCGATAGCGTTGAGTATCCCAACATCTATCAAAATTAATTCTTGTTTATACTGTTATTTGTTCCATACAATTCCATATATTATAATCAACAAATACGAACCAAACGGATTATAGATAATATCAACCGTACCCAGGAGCACTTTTATGTGTTTGAAGCACAGAAATCATGTGCTGACAACTATATGATTCATAATACTTAGGAAATTAAGGAATTTGCGTTTCATTATCAAATGATGCAATCTAAATTTGTGACTGAAATGGTTCAATTTACTTACTGTGTATGACGGAACTCTCTGTTTATCTGACGAGTCGTAGACATCAGAATTAAGGTCATATTTATAAGTTGGAGGAAAACGAATACGGCCTTCATTGAAATTCCGGAAAATTACACCTTTATAACAATAAAATGTAAGTAGAAGGGAAAAAAAGTCTTTAGCTGAGAAAAAGCAGTTCTTCGAATTTAACTTCTTATTTTATTTTCTTATTTTAGTCGGGGATAAAAGAATGATAAAAAGCTCCTAACTAGTTTTTTTTCCTGAGATACTTATTTTACCATGAAGCTATTTCACAGGCACTCTAGGCTGTATGGATGGATGAGCTATTGCTACGATAGCTGAAACTTCTCCCATTTCGCAGTTGAGCTAGAAACCACGTCTTTACAACATGCAACTGACAAATTTCTGTTACTGATTATCGTCATGTAACATCTACATGCACTTTTGAATCTAAATATCTCTTAATACCAGTCTCTTTAAATTGCATGCTGTTGATAATCATGTTCAGTATCAATGTCTTTCAGAACTAGTTTCTTGTCCTATTTTTCAGCTCTCAGCATATTATTGACTAAAACTGTTTCAAAAGTATAGAACCACACCCTTTTTTAACCATTTTATTCAGCAGATATATTTTCTATGCACTTGAAAAGCTTTTTAGAAAGTGACCTCATAAAACTAACTGTCCACGCAAAGATATGCTAAATGGAACAAGAAACCATTCGAAATATGTTCACTTTACAGGAATGTTGAAGTTCAAGATATCTTGACCATAGATATCTGGTTAGGATACACTGTAAAAAAACTATACGTAGATAAGATGTTGAAGAATTCTGATTCAAAAATTTTCATTATTGCTGTACAGATGGTTGGTGTGCGACGTGGCTACATTGCATATCCTATAAATCTGTTAGGTACCACACTGCACAACGTTAAAAATAATTGCTTAAGGAAGCCTTCTCTACCCCAGATGATTACTTGGACATGAACATAATGTATGCAAATTTATTTTATACATTGCCCCCAGATGTCGTTAATGAAGAAATCTACAGGCGTTTAATTGTATCTTGCAATAGACCTGTTGCATCAAAAAAGTGTTGAGTAGTCCGTCTGACAGCAAATGTACGCAATGTGCAAAGAGACAGTCATCTAACACAATATTGTATGAATGAATATCCTTCGATATAGTACTAAGTATAGATGCAGAGACAGCGGAAATGCTCACACCACTATTGCAGAAGGTTCAGAAGGAAAAAAAAATGCCTGCCGAGTGGAAGAACGGCTACCTTGACCAAACTCCCAAAGAAGGGAAACCTAAGTCGTTGCAAGAACTGGCACGGGATCACACTCCTGTCCACCTCAAGCAAAATATTAAGCCGTATCATCCTGCATTCAACTGGATTACGACCAGAACAGGCTGGCTTCAGGGAAAAAAATAATGCGCGGACCAAGTTGCAACGCTACGCTACGCATCACCATAGAACAGAGCATAGGATGCCAGCCAACTCTCTACCTCAACTTCATCGATTTTGAAAAGACCTTCGACAGCGTCAACCGAGAAGTAATTTGGCAACTGCTTCAACACTACGAAGTACCACAAACCTTATCAACCTCATTGAACAACCATATGAAGACATGACATGCGAAGTAATTCACAACGGAAAGCTCACTGATGACTTTAAAGTGAAGACAGGAGTACGACAAGATTGTTGCCCGTTATCACCGATGATTTTCCTGATTGTGGTGGACTGGCCTGGGCCATGCAACAAACTGTGAGGAGCGAGAAGAGGGCATACGCTGTTTGACCGATGAAAGGAGCCTAGACGATTTGGATTTCGTCGATGATGATTTATGCCTATTGTCTGTCGCACAAACTCGAAGATCCACAGGCGAGAACTAAAAAGTTAGCAGAAGAGCCGGGGGAGCGAAGATGGGACGTAGAGAAGACAGAGATGATGAAGGTACCCAACCAAAAACAATAAGCACTAATCAGCATTAACGGATGAAACCTAAAGGAAGTAGTCTCTTTCGCCTACCTACCTAGGTAAGGCGGCATCGTTTCAACTACAGGTGGCACAAGCACAGATGAGAATGTCAAAGCCAGGATCGGAAAAGCAAGACAGGCCTTCATTAATCTGAAATCAGTGTGGAGATCTACTGCACTCCACTCAGCGTAAAGCGTGAACAAGATCCAGATTTTCAACACTAGTTCAGTTAAGTTAATGGTTCTATATGTCTCAGAGACTTGGCGCGTTACGAAAAGCATTTTCAACAAACTACATACACTCAACAACAGCTGCCTACGCTCGATACTCAAGATCAGATGGCCAGAAAGAATAAGCAACAAGAAACTCTGGCTGGCAACGAACCAACCAACAACCCACTGCCCAACAAGTATGCAGAAGAAAGTGGAGATGGATTGGATCAGAGATACACTGAGAAGACCATTTGGAAACATCATGCGTCAGGCCACCGAGTGGAACCCAAATGGGAAACGATAAGCTGAGCGTCCGAGGGTGACATGAAGGAGATCGTGCGGGGAAGAAATGAAAGCTTGTGGGCAGTGGTGGAGCCAGGTTCAAAAGACTGCAGAGAATAGAGTGAAATGGCGACGTGCAACTGAAGCCCTATGTTCCACTAAGAACCCAAAGGACAAGTATTAATAATAATAATAATAATAATAATAATAATAATAATAATAATACAGGAATGCTATTCAACGACAATTCAGAATTTAGTTAACAGAACTATCGGCTAAGAGAATGTGACCTTTTGCCTCAAATAAAGCTGCCTAAACTCAGTAACGAAGGGCTTACAGTTTACGATTTGAATCTTTCATCCGTAGCTACATTCCGAATACATTTACGTAAAATCTGATGATGGCATTATAGTATTCAACACTCACCCTCCGCTTGAGCATTTAATAATTCATCTGCTGATAGAAGTTCTTCATAGTTTCTATGTTTACTTTTTCCGTTAATTATATTCTCCACGATATGTCTTGGTCGTTGTATTCGAAAATTTAAATCTCCTGCCCATAATACAACATCAAACCGATCCATTGGATTAGGTTCTAAAGCATTTTGTAGATAAATGGGTATTCAGTTTCAAACTAGAAGAGTAGTACAGTAACATTATTTTGTAGCGTTCAATTTTTGAATGATAAAACATACAGTTATAAACCATGAGTAAAAGTAGTTTTTGCTAGTCGGTCTTCAGTAGTTCACTGTACCTCATCTATTTTTCTAGTTCATCCTATTACATTTTTCCTTTTGTCAAATTTCAAACCTGAACTATTGAAAAGTGTAACACTGTGAACAAATACATTATTGTGCATCGTTCTACCTCCCTTGACCTGTCAGTTTAATGTAATTTAGAGGAATAAATAATCAATGGAAAACTTAGTTATCCATAACACGAAACAATTCTCAATTATGATAAAATGACCAACCACAATGTTCGATCCTATTGTTTTGTTAAGGAGAAGAGCATAAAAGAAGATAATTTATAAACTAATAATTTTACTGAAGCTTTTTGCTTCCATTGACTGAGGTGGTTCAATGTACATGTGACACATGCTGGAACACTATCTATTCAGACAAGTGAGTTTAGCTGAAGTAGGCGTAGGTTCGAAGTAAGTTAATTGTTTCACTTTTGGTATCAGCCATGTAGAAAAGCATAACTGCCTAACTAGGCTTTTCGAAGTATTAACAGTAAATCACCGGAGACTAGTAAATCCAAGTCAGTGTTAATGCAGGATCTACAATTTAGTGTTTAACAGTCCAAGTTGCCCCACACAACCTCACTGGAGGCTATCAGCTAAATGGCCACAGTAGCGCAGATTTATGTACTATTTATGAACTTACCAACTCTCTCTGTCACATCCTTCGCGTATATTCCAGTATCTTTCGACTTCTGTAGATCTATTCCTATGATTACAAATGGTGGCAACCTGAACCACAATACTTTTATGTGGAGTTCCACTTCTGTCTATCTGTTTGCTTGTATATTTATTTATTCCAGTTAGTTACTTTCCTAAATTATGACTTTGCGTAGAATTTTAAATAAAATAACAAAGAAATAATCAGAAACCTTTCAAATCTAACATACCATTATATTTATATCCTTTGTTGAAACCAATTTTCGGTAGATTAATACTATCCACTACTTGTAAGTAATCCTGAACCCTACGTTCAAAATTTGTGTGACTAGCTGAAATGAATGCAAAAATAATGTTAATTAGCTAAGCGAGTAAATGACATTGTAGTTCATACAGAAATTTGGTTTTTTTTTCATAACCATGATTTTATGCAACTGAGTCATCTGTTTACTTTGACCACATGACAAATTAGTTAAGAGTGTCATATTCGGCTGCCATAAAAGAAATCACAACTCATAGCATTCTTATGTATGCTTGTCAAGATCACGATGCTGATACATTTTAAGTAACATATCGTTCTTTATGCCACCATTATACTGCTGCTCAAAACGCTGACTGACTCCTAACATCTAACGTCAAAACAAAATGCACCTCAATGCCATATCATTTGGTTTAATGACCACGTTGAAAACGTGATCGATAGATTTCGATCAACACCAAGCACTACATAGCTACATCGGTTACTCACTATTGGTGACCAATTTGTGAAACTTTCTTGGTGTAATTGTGATGTTAGCTGAAGGGAATCGATAGATAGGGCAAAATGGATAGCTTGTGACATCACTGTATCATTTCACAGTTGCTATACTTCAGATAAGAAACTAAAAAAAGGTATGTCATCAGTAAAATGAAGAGACAGCCCAATACAACTAAGAACTGATTGACAAGAAGTAGAATGGCTATGGTCCAATGAAGAATAAACATTGAGTCATGCTACTTAAGATATTCAAATACTTGTTTCAACCATTAATAAATACGCCATTGTTGTTACCAATCTCAGTGTGTTTAGAAAGACATTGTTTTGGTTTTTTAAACACGCTAGGATTTAATAGGTTGTATCATATCACAAGGTCGTGAAGGAAATTTTCTATTCTTAGGCTCGTTATTAATTGAAATAACTTTGATTTTATTTTGAATGTTTAGAGAATCCATCAAGATAGTGCATAAAATGCACCATAATAACTATTTTACTTAACTGTGGACACATTCACTGACTGTTTGCACAACTCAAATTATTTAATTATTACATAGTATATCAGGTTACGTGTATTAGATGATCAAATTCGTTTGATCCGGAAGATTCGACTCCTATGCAAATTAATTGTATCCAGGGACACCACTGATAAACTAGACCGTCTGGTGTTTAGATCAATCTGACCTTGCCAACAAAATTCACATATAAGCGTTGGTGATTCTCAACTACTTATTATTTTTGACTAGTATACTGTTTTTCTTGAATTAGGGATATTGCCTAAATGTACTCGGTATTATACAAGTCAAATTTGAAAAATCAGCTTACAAACCCTTGTGCCATGTAAAACATAGTAATCGTCATTTTTCAGGTCGATGAAGTATTAAAAATAATTTTTATACACCTAGGATTAAATAGTTTACCTTTGAAATGAGCAGAAAGGAATAAAATTGATGTCCCAAAAAGTATAAAGCAGACAGCTACTGCTCCTTTAGTTCTTACAGCAGCTGTAGTTGTAACTCCAACGGATTGAGGCACTAGAAAATAAGATCGGAATCAGTAATACTATTTACAGCTGAAGAGTGAAAACAAACGTCAATCAAACACTAAAGCAATTAGTGGCATCACGCTTCAGCAGTTACGTAGTAAATATACACTACTTCAAAAGACACAGATGGTTATATATAAGTTCAAAATAGATTCGTTTCAAGTTGCATTACATACTGTAAAAGCAGTGCAACTCAAATACCTGAAATGAATGCATAATGAACTTATTTCTCATACTTATTTACCGCATTGTATATACCACTCCCTGAAATTACTAGTCATAATAAGATAATCACTTGTTTGACTTGTAACTACCTAAGCAAAATGTGTGACATTCTTTGATAAGATTCAAGTTGTTTTTGTAATATGAATATTCGTTTGACTGGTGTATGCATATCAGACCTAGTTCTAAACAGCTATGATAACATTACATTTTGCTGACTAAATAATATAAGACTCTTCAGCATTGCGTACCCAAAACCCCGCCAGGTATCGAACCCAGGACATTCAGGTTTCATAGCCAGCACGTTACCATTGAGCCACTGGGTCAAAATCCAGTGGTTCGTATTTCCTACTTCTATATCGTGAACTGATAGAAGTTAGAAATAAAGACCTTCGGATTCAGAGCCAGTGGCTCAATGGTAACTTGCTGTCCACGGAACCTGGATGTCTTGGGTTCGATTCCTGGCAAGGTCATGGGTGCGCACTACTGAGAAGTCCCATACTAGGACAAAACAGCTGTCCAGTGCTCCGAGGTTTCCAATGTTTATCCAACTAATGTCAGTTCATGATGAATACCAGCCTGAAATAAAAAGTCTTATTTGAACTAGAAAACTCGTCTTGTATTCGGCTATTCTTTCTACTTAAAAATGAAATTGGCGCAAACGTGTTTGAAACACTTATAGGGTTACAATATATCATTTTAAATTCTTAGCTAAGACCACAAATTTCTGAGTTTACAGCTTTTATATAATCTGAAAATACTTCCACGGTACAATAGAGGTATAGGTGTTTCAAGCATATAAACATGAATAATATATATACTTATGCATAGTGAAATTGCAAGTTTTATGCCAAGAGATACGTTGTAGGAAACAGATTCACTGAAAATACGAATGTCATTGATATTAAATTTAGTATAATTTTAACTGTTTAGTAGCGATTTAGTAAGTGATTTAAAAAGAACAAAACTACACCAATACATCTTTTGCTTACTGAATTTTATAATACCTTTGATTGACTATTTGTCACATGAAGGCCAAGCTACAAATATTTTAACTTGATCAGGCTTCGTATAGAATGCGTATGTTTTATTTCATCGATAATCTTGGTTCTTGAATCTGAACAATCATTACTACTAAATACACAGTCAGCTGCTCTGCTTCCATTTTTTTATGTATTTATTTATTTAGACAACGAGACAGCTACCAGTCGACCATAACTTATCAATCACACAGTCTGGGTATACTTAACTGAAAAGTATGATTAATAAAGTATATTCCAGTCCACATTCAATGAAAAGTATATTTTTACTGGATCGAATTGACCAACCTCTGTTGGCATATGGGCTCTTATGGGATGCTTCGACATTGCCTGAATATTTATTGTTATAATTGACTTCGTTGTGGTTAGCAGTGGGATCCAAAACGTCAAAGTCAAGTAAATCATAGCAGAAAAAATATTCGCGTACTATCAAGGCATCCGCATAGGAGCCCAGATGCTAACAGAGGTTGATTAACTCAATCCGATGTAACAGCGGAGAATTATAAGTATATCAAAATATGGTAATACCTATTCTACGAGAGGTCGCTGCGTGTCCCAGTGGACAACCCTTTAGTGTTTGAAGCGATGGGTACGAGGTTCGAGTCTCAGTGGGGACGAAATCACTCACTCGGGTGCATGTTCATTAAGATGATGAGTCCCAAATAGGACACGCGTCCTGGGTTCTTCTGCTAGCCGCAACCAAGTAAAAAGTGTGATTGTTTGCTTGACTTAATTATTAATCCGTAACTCTTACACTTTGGTTTCAATGGTTTTCACCTCATACAAAACACTTCATATATTTGCTCTCATCTCTTTACTCAACACTATTTGACCACAAATAGATCAGCTGCACTCCAGCTTCATACGAATTAGGAAGAACAGCAGGGGATCAATTCCACTCAGAAACCTACTAAAAGCATTTACACACATTTCAGTTGACTTTTGATAATAGAAAAACTGAAACCTAAATAATGTCAGGACTTAACTATGCTTTAATTTAATAAAATTTATTAGATCGAGAGTTTAATTGCCCTAGAACAATCTTATTCTAGATATATCACAAAAAGCAAAGATGTCGCACAGTATGTTGGATTTATAATACTGAATATAATAGGGGAAGTAGAATAAAATTTCACAATTAACTTCTAAATAAATAAAATTTGATTTTCATATCATTGGATCCAACGTATCCTAAACTTAAGAAACATTTACATTACATCTAGTGATGACTACATACCCAAAAATTGTACTTTAATGAAATTGTTTAGAAATGGTTAATCTATATACAGAAAGCAAATAAGGTGGACCTTTGTTTATTAAAATTATTAAAACATCTCTATATTCAAAATTAAGCATTTTAATCCCCTTTTATATACGTTATCAACATTTTTGAACAAGATCCCTACCTATAAGTGTATCAATTAATTTGATAAGTCTGTTCATTTATACAAGCTGGGCATTTATAAACATTACTTACAATCCAATCAACCAATGAAAGTGCTTATCCTTAACAAAAATTTTATGGTCAGTTTCATGTTATTTATTGTATCAGCGGTATCATTATACACATACCCGACCGATAGCTGCTACCTTGACGTGGTGGTCGGGCTTGCATATCACAATAACCCAACGAGCTATGCTGGTGGAACGCTTGTTCCCTCGAGGTCCTACCATACCAGAAAGGTCTGTTGGATAGTGGTTAGACGAAAAGCAGTTACCGTTATAGTGTAAATCGCTACACTATGATGGGGGTCTGAGGGCGAAGTCGTACTGCTGCTAGCTGGATGGGGTGTGACAGCAGTAAGGTGCTTCCCTTGGATGACCAGTACTGCCATGCTGATGCTGCCTTCTCAGTGGAAAGGGGGGGGGGGTTAGAAAAGGTCGGCCCCAAAAATAACACACTCCACCATGCCCCATGGTCTGCCGGGCCGGCGGCCCCGAAAATACAAAAGTTCAAAATAATCATACTCAAAAGGCTGAGTGTGACAGGCCTCAAGCAAATGTCCGATGGGCTTTGCGGTCACACAAATCTCTACCAGGTACCTTAAGAAGAAATAGCCTTCCACGGTGTGGGCAGCCGGGAAGTGTCAACCGCCCTCACAACTCTGTCAGCACTCAAGTTTCTTCTGACTGCTATCCACCTCCTCTATCACTACCTTCTAATCTTCCTTCACGTCTCTCAATTAACGATGCTGCATCATCTGCAATTTCTGCTACCTCTGCAGCCTTCGACAACGATCTGAGTCCACAGAACAGCATCACTGGTCTCTTTAAACCACGCTCCAAATCACATATTGGAGCCTTCAATGTCCGAACCCTCCGTCAAATTGGTCAACAGACTTCGTTAGCAAAGACTCTAGCAACTCGGGCCATGGATGTGTGCTGTGAAAAAGGCCCGAGGTGGCCAGACTAAAACATGGCACCAATGTATGAAGTCTTTGACTGTTGGTTTAAGCTATGTAGGACGATGCAGACTAGATGGTTGGGGTCCACGGGACAAGAGGAACCAGTGGTTGGAGACTCTAGGTGATATGGCTCAGAACTGATGTCAGTGGCGCAGATGTATACACACATTATCCTTATCTTAACTACACTATACCGAATCTCACCATTTTGTCGCTCCTCTTTGCTTTCTTCTCATGCTTTATATTTCTTTTGACTGCATTCACTTATCTTCATCCTTCACCTCACTACCTTTTTACTTGATGAATTGACGTGAGGTGTGGCAACTTGGACCGTTACGCAGTAATGCCTGGTCCTATGTTGATAATGATGATGATGACACATACAGATGATTTCCACTCTTCACGATGCAGTTTTATAAATAATTATTTCATAGAAGCTCATTTACTATACAAACAGGCCTATAAGAAAATATCACCTTAAATAACTAATGTTGTTCAGTAGTATATTGAATAGTATGTAAAATTGTATTGTGACATTTCATTCATTTCCCTGCGGGTTAACGAGAAAAATGTTCTCTAACCGAAGCTAATTTTATTAAAAGTTTGTCATTATTATTATTATTACTATTATTCATAATATACAACTGTTGCTATTATTGAGTTAATTTATGCCACAGTCTATTCATTAACGTCTGTGCATCTCTAAATGATGTTCTGGCATATATGGTGGATATTAAAAGGTACATGATGACTACCACTAACTTTTAATTGAGTCTACGCTTATGACAATGAGTGCAGTAAATATGCTGTCATATTTGACCAAATATTCCAGGAGGAAGTAGTTCAACCCGCATTAAACCCTCTTTGCATAAAACACACGAAAAGATAAGCGCAGAAAATTCTCTTTTCTTCATTAATATTCAATAACACAATGCAGTTCACTGTTCGTTTGACGAGCAATTTTATTCTTGACGCTAGCAGATTCTAGGTCAGTTAGATTGGGATTTGGATGATAGTAGCGCATCACGAAGTCACATGGTAATCAGGCAAAACCCTTGGTAATGGAAATGAAATGAAAATCTGGTTAGCAGTCAGACCTCGATGGTCTCTGGTTCGAGTCCGATCGTGGTCCAAATTTTCAATTCACCTCCAGTCATCACTCAGTATCAATGAGCTACACAGACAAAAGAATGGGGTTACCACTTGGATCACTGCTGACTGATTGCTTTATGGCAAACCCAGAGAATAGTGTACTTCATTCAACAATTGATAGATATAAAATATATATGGATGGCACATTCATCATTTGTGATCAAAATGCAGATATTGGGACTTTAGTTAAAAGATTTAATGACTGTCACCCATCGATCAACTTCACATCAGAATTTTGAGAGAAGCCAGAATTCCATTTTCTTGATGTCTCATTAAAACAAAGACTAGATGTTTCTCTCCTCAGATAGATTTATAGGAAGCCTACATGGAATGGATATTACCTGAATTTCAATACCTGGATGCCTCTTAGCGGAAAAAAGAATCTGATCCATTCTTTATCTTCAAGAATCAAAAGAATCTGCATGATTGATACCATCGACGATAAATTAGACAAACTACGGAAGATTCTCATGCAAAACGGATACCCAACCAGATTTACTGAGAAATTGAAATGCAAACGGAATGTGGAGCAAGTACTCACAGTTCCAAAAAGACCTTGTTTATGAACGTTGATTTCAAAGGCGATACGGCAGCAGAGATCTTGAAGAATAGGCTGTCCAGATCGCTGAAAAAGACATTCTTCTCTAAAAAGCTATAGATCAGCTTCTCTGGTCAACAACTGGTTCAGGAGTGCGTTAAGGACAAGTTGCTACTTTGAGTCACCTTGATGTGTGTCTACAAATTGACCTGCTCCTGTGGAGCTAGCTATATAGGCCGCACAAAGTCCGCACTTTCCAAACGTATCTCTGAGCACTACCCTGCATGGTTGTCGAAGGGAGATTGTAAATCAATTGATAGTTCAATTCTTGAACATTTGATCAACTATGGACATATAGCTCGACCACAGTCCTCCTTCAGTGTTATTTATAGAGTCAAATGGAAAAGTTCATAAGGAGTACACCTTCGACAGCTGTCCACAGCAGAAGCAATGACAATTCATCAATTCAAATCTGATCTCTGTGAGCAAAAGAAGTGTGTTCAATCTTTTATCTAAACATGATCTTAACACTCACAATTTTTCAATTCCATCATAATTAGTTAGTTTATTATTATTATTATTATCACTTTCATTATGACCCTTGTCCCATTCTTCACCTTCTTTTACACCTTTCTATCAAGTGGACACTCAATAATTACATTTTTCATCTACTAACAATTTTCACCTCGTCAAACTCCTTGCATTCTTCGTTATTTTCACTGTCTAAGAGATTATTATGCAACTACTATTCATTCTTGACTTCGGTTTTCTGGCACTAGCTTAATGATGCAGCTATACACTATTGTTGAATAATAGACTGTTATATGTTTATGATACATATAAATACAGTTGTGAAGCTTTAGAAAATGATAATAACAAAGAGAAAATCTCCTCCACTGAATTATCTCTTCTTTTCACGATGGAATCTCATTTCATTTCATAATATCGACTGCACTTCTTATTAGTATCTATTATCGTTCATTAACAGTAACCCAGTGCCGTTATCTTGATGCGCAGTGAACAAACATCGGATCTCAATAGCTTAACAATGGTTTCAACTCAGTACTAAATTATGAATTATCTCAGTACTTTCGTTAGAATAACAGCTATTTTAGTTAAGTAAAACTTTATCGTTTAATTTCAGTTTAGAATGCTGGGACTAAACATACTGTCTACAATATTAAATTTTCCTTTATACTTCAGTTTGTAAGTAAATAACAATAGTCCCAAAGGCTATGGAATTAAATTCAGCCTTCACAGTTATTCTGTATCTTCTTCAGATTAAAGAAGTTGAAATTAAATCTATGAGACTTGAACTATGCATCCACAAAAGGTTTGTTCACGTTCTTTGGCCACTTTATACTGCCAACAGAACTGATATCTTTTTGATTTTTGTGTATTTCTTCCTAAATGTTAATCCTACTGCGATTAACGTCGAGTCAATTTCATACTAATTTCAGACTTTTACTCACTTTTAACCTAACGTCATATTTTCACTTACCATTAAAAACTGTTGCCCTGAGTAACATCACTCCCCTTTTTGAATAGTTAGACTTGAATTCATTTTAATTTTATTCTTAATTGTAATCTATGCATATTTTAAGGTTGCGGCTAATAAAGCTCCAAGAAAAAAATTATCCACTTGATTTAACCATCTTCTCAATGCTAATATAAGATTTTTCTAAGAGTTGAAGTCTTAAGGTATTGTACCTTCCAGTTTAACTTAGTTTATTTTGGGAGAATGATTACAAGTGAAACAACTTCGCCAGACTCACATCGTTTAAGGTTGAGACTAGTAAAGTTTCAGGGACAAAGGTGTTCGAGCCAGTGGTTATCACGAACAGCCAATAGCTGGCGAATCATCTGAAACCCGGGAGCACTGGACAACTGCTTCGTCCCAGTATTGAGCTCCCCACTATTGGATGATGATCGCTCTATGTCGCAGGTTGATACAAGTAGAAAAATGTGAACTATTGAATCCCGACTCAGTAGTAACGTGTTCACCAAGAAACCAAGAAGTCTTGGGTTCGACTACTGTTGGGGTCATGGGAGCGCACTGCTGAGGAGTCCCACACAAGGATGAAATGGCCATCCAGTGCTCCCAGGTTTTCAATCCTTCTCCAACTGTTAGTTCATGATGAATACCAATTTGGAATCAGTACATTTTCATAGACTTTCAAACCAAGAAAGTATTCATTCAATTTAACCGTCTTATCAATGCTAATATAAGACTTTTCTAAGAGTCGAAATTTGAATGTATCGCACCTTTGAGTCTCACTCAGCTTACTATGAAAGAAGAAAGACAAGAGAAGCAATTGTGCTAGACTTTCACATTATTTTTCAAAGTATGTTTTAAAAGGTTATTCAATATGAATTAACATCTGCGCGTGCGTTTAACATTACACACATTATACCTTATTTTTTGCTATGTGAGCACGCTCCGTATCAAAACAAGGTCAGAAAATAATTTCTTTCTGACCAAGTATATGTAGTTTCTATTCGCACAACATTTTAACTATGGAAAAATAAACTATTGAAATACATATAACTTAAAAAATACTGACTAATGGGGTGAATCCTTACCAGTAATCAAGTTGGTTGATCCATCCGGTTTTAGCTTTTTACTAAAAATTCAAGAAATTCATCTTTTATCATATCGTGAAAAACCGTTGTGGGGTTTGAGTACAGATGCTCCCGACAAAGTTGAATAGTGGTAGCATTAAGCCATAAATTAACAAGAATTGTAAAAAGTGTGCATTTAAATTCCAATCCAGGAGCTGGGTGACTATATGCTGATTGTGAGAAATGACGGTCTTAAGTACGAGTCTAGACTGCTGAAGAGTCCTACAGTAGATCAATATTTCTCTAGCTGGCTGCAAGGCATGGTGAGTTATTATTAAAACCATTCTCGACCACATAAACCTTCAAACTTGAAACCTCAAGATTATTATTCAATAAAATTTGGCACAACAAAACCTACGACTGAATGTTTTACATTCACTGAAAAGGTAGATTTTGATGTTGTTATGTTTAGCAAGAAATAACACTATTAAGCAAAAGTAATATGAATATTCAGACTGTTTGTAATAAAGCTAGTCATCTAGGGACAAATAATTAAAACTAAAAAAAAAACAAACCGTTTCACCTACCTGAAGTATACCATATTAGGTCACGATTTAAAAATATCATTAAAGCCAACGTCCCATGAGTTGCATACGTAAATAGAACATGTTTGATGCCAATAGCTGCTTGTAGTCGAATAAGAAGTTCATTTCTATGGACAGCAAAGGCAAATTGCCGGGAGGACATATATATAAGATAGAAATTTCCGAGAAAAAACATTTTGTGACAAGTTTAATGCATATGATTTAAAAGTATTTCAAGTTCGTACTAGACTGTTTCTAGCTCAAATGTTATATGGATGTTTTCTTGAACTTTTCCGGTCTATAACTAATAAACAGTCAGTTATTTTAGATCTTTGCAACATTATAAAACGTGACTCCAACCATTTGATAATTTGTGAGCTGATACTGTCGTTTTGTAGCTAATTTCAAAGGACTGTCACCAGTAAATTTGTTGAGGTTTATAACCGATAGGTTTAAGAATTTTTAGCAACCAATATAGATCCACAGCAATCACTTTTTAAAAAGAAAGCATTTAACAATTGGTCACGTCTATAGAAAACGAAAAGCTTTTGAGGAGTAGTAGCATGATCAAAATCTTCCACAATATTATAGAGCCTATGCACATACAATGGTCTACACAGAAGTTGCGAAGTATTATAGTTCATATCACAAGCAATACTAGAACTCTATTGAAAACCAGTCCACAAAGTTATTAACTGTGGATATGAACTGTGTAAGGAAGCTGAAATATATTGAGAAAGATCATAGATGCAGAAACGATTAGTACCTGAAGAATGCAGGTGAGACAAACTAAAAGTGATCCTACTACAACAGATGCATTTATTTCCCGTTCTGCTCCAATATCTGGACATCCAGTTATCGTATACATGTCTATTTCCTATCTTTGGTTGTAATTCTCTTCCTTGACTTCATTTTTATAACCTTCTTTTTCGTTCCCTTTCACTATGCTGCTTAAATAAACTGTGAATTGGACTGACACACTTACGTACAAAGTTTGTTGACGTTCAGGAGCTTCAAATAAGATTTTCCAGTGAATTAAAGACACAATCATATATTATAAGTGATAGGATGAACTGTTCTTAGTGAGAAATAAGAATTCATATGGCACAGATGTCAACATTTAAAATCGGCATCATTTTTATACGGCAAGCAATTAAAAAGCAACAAGTATCAAATTAAAACCATCCATTGAAATTAAAAAAGGAATTGATAGAAATAGTTTGCAATCATTTCCAATTCTTTTTTAATATTGTGAATGATATATTACTTCTTGTATTCAAAACAAAATTTAGTTTGAACTCCTATTTAGTTGAACATAATCCACACACTGGCAAAAAACAATCTTTAAATTTTACGCAGAATTCCCGTATGAATTTATCAATATTATTTGACGTAAAAGCTTTTTAATTAAGTGATATCTTGGACAGAAGCAGCCGTAATACGGAAATAAGAAATGAATAAAAAAGCTATCGAATCACGATATGTAGATCAGATTGAGTTGTGTTGGGCTTAATTTTGATGATACTTCAATCAACACTTCATTCTCGCTTATACCCGAATGGGTGCAGTAGAGACTTATGTTGTTTATTTTAATTCAACTACCAAGTCTAAACACTCTCATGATCAAAAGCTTAGAAAATAAGTTTCGAAGGTTACTTGGGTTTCTTTCATGATGAGACAGATGAATGCAAACATCGCCATATAAATTGGTTTAAAATGATAAAAACAGGAAGAAAAACTATGCGTTCTAAGTTTTGAAAAAAAGTAGCAGTAAATATGCAAGTTGTCAAATATATTTTCTTAGCCGAGTATTAATAGGTTAATTAACTTATGACCAGTGGATGGCCAGGTCATCTAGAGTCGCCCACCACCGATTTCGGTCGTTACGCGGACACAAACCGACATGTCAACATTTTGCTTATACAGCTAATACCAACAATGAAAGACTAAGGACTGATGTCATGTTTCAATCTGAACACCTTTACCCTTTTTTCCCACCTAAAACCACTTTGGATAAAACGGAGGCAGATAGTGACCCAGCCTGTGCAACACATATTATCACCTTCAATACTACGAAGGCAACAATGGAAGGAGACCTGTAGCGATACCAGTTTTTCCGCCGCACAGCAGAACACAGCAAACAGCTGTGTGGTATACTAAACTGTTAACAAGCATTCGGATACTTGCCGGCTCAGTAGGTGGTTTAAATTATCAAACGTGAATGCAGCCTTTGGTGCTCATGTGGAGGAAGAGCCAATCACTGACCCACAAAAGTTGGTTCAACTTTCAAGACAAGTGAAGTATTAAGCATGCTCAATAACTTCATACCCAAGATGTAAGTTGGTTGGAGGCAATCAATAGGAAGGTTGAGACCTAAGTTTCGTGCTCTCTAGCACTCATCATCAATGCGTATCTGCAACCTTGAGGTAAGTGTTGTCCCCTCTGTGATTCGAACCTGCGGTACTGTGTTGCAGTCAGCGACGTTCTACCGGGCTGTTGGGACCCCGAAAAACCTCATGCAACACAGGATTAGAGACACTGGTTAGTCACTAGAAGGGAACCAATTTCATGTTGTCTAGTATCGAGTGCTGACCATATACTATTGACTATTTTGTAATAAGGCAACTGCAACGCTGGGTTACGCGGGTACGAATCTCAGAGTGGACATCACCTTCATCGAGGTTGCAGATACTCTTTGGCTGATGAGTCCCAACAAGCACGGAACCTAGGTAACGGACTTCCAGCCGATTGTTTCCAGCCAACTAACATCTATCCAAGTGCACCACGATTCTGAACTCCCAAGCTTGTCGGTCAAATTCCAACACGAGTGACAGAATTCGGTCAGAACAGAGGATTGAAAACATGAAATTAGTTGCCTTCCAGTAACTAGTCAATGTAGTTCATTCCCTATTATCTGACAAGGTACCAACGCAGACGAATCCCAAAGCAGTATCTGCATTTATAAGATAAGAAATACATCACAAAAATTCTCAAACTGTCATTTAGGGTATTTAGAATACTTTGAATCTTCTCCTTGGGGGATAATGTCATCCGGTTATTGTAGTTCTAGTAAGGAGTTTCCTGTGACAAGGTCAGTCTGTATAAAATCAGACAAGGAATCGAAGAAAAAATCGATATCCACTTGGGGACCTTGTGCGAGTTCGCGCAGTATAGGCAGTAAGTAAAACCCATTGTCTGAAAAGTAACGATACTATCTGATATCTCAAACCTCGGTAGACAGAGCTAGTTTAGAAGCGATGGGCCTTTGGTTTGAAGTCGAATGCAGAGACCACTGAGTCACAGCTCTATGGGGAGGCCTATCAACTTGCTGATGTCAGTCACCAGGATTTTATAATTGTTGACCTATTATCTACCAACTTCAAACGTTCAGCATTTCCACTATACAAGTCAAAAGTTTGTGCATTGTGGAATAGACTAACGTGGTATTTTCCTCCGAAATGCTAGTTATTATTATGCTACAACAAGAAATCAACAAGTGTAGCGGCCGAATTCATTGAAATATAAAATTTGAACTATGTGGCCTGTTTTCTGTTTCAACATAAACCAAGTAAACAATAGATCCACGGCTTCGGTATGCTAGAAGCGACAAATCCATAATTTCACAGACATTACATGATTTTTGACATCTCTCTTAGATACCACAGTATTTTCAAATCATAAATGACTTCATCTACCTTTTCTGAAGTCATGTAGGAGTTGTTTTGATAATACTACATCAAGCACGGTGAAGAATGGATTTTTCAACGCAAAACATCCAAAAGATTAAAGTTTCATCCCATAGAAATAGAGACAGGTTAACAGATATAATAATGCCTTGGTAGATTTCTATGGGAAATGAGATTTGACTTGAAAATATTACCAGGTGACCACTAAATGTAAGAAAAATTGCAAGATGATAATACTCGCTTTTACAAATTGGTAGTTCATAAATGAAAACTTCTTTTGACTCAAATAAATTTATTGTCTTCCACAAGCTCGAAAGTCGTATCATTCTTCATCTGTCTGAACACAATAGAATTAAAGTTTCACGAAACCTCGTTCAATTCGTTTATTGACTCCGCCGACCTTTAATCGAGTGTCGATGTTAATTGTCGCAAATTCAACTAAGGCAATTTTGTGAGTTGATCTTATTCTGTCTAGCAATCTGTCATATCCATACAAAATACTGCATTATTTCACGACACATCATAAAGAAATTACATCAGACGACAATCATTTGACGAGGGTATTGGAGAAGAACTTTATTCTCTGAGAGGAACAGAAAAGAATACAAGAAATCAATTTTCCTTGCTCTTATAATGCACATCACAGCAGCAACCCGATACGATTATGAGCATGCCCCACCAATTGAAGAAATGCAAATAGTATAAGTCATTTGTTTAGAGTAGTGAATTATGTTGTCTCACAAGGACAAAAAGTGGGCTACATCCAGCACGTTGCTCCTCTTGGTGAAAATGATTATTTGAAACAATTAGCCCCTTTAATAAATTTCGATAACGCTATTAGAAGACGAAGATTATCTGAAAAATGTGATGTATTTGCGCAATACATTTACCTTCGTAATTCTTATCTGATTATATTACCAAGACTAGTGTCACAACCTTTTCATTTTCACTATATTTGACCTTTATTTTTTATATATAAATTCACTTGACAAGTAAATGTGTGGTCAGATTGTTCGAAATGTGTTGCGCAAATAAATAACATTTTTCAGATAAACTTCGTCTTCTAATAGCGTTATCGAAAATGATTATGTTGTGATCTCCAGACTCGCAGCAGCCATCTTGTCGGGCCGACACCCTGCGCAGACTCATTATATGGAAGGAGGACAAAACAGCTATTAATTTGGCAGCCTTTTCAGGCAACTGAACAGTCAATCCAGAAGTCCCGATTAACGCTGTATTCCGCACCTTCGAACAGTTGTGCTCAAGAGTGGGTCAGCCGTTCTCCCCATGGATTCTGCAGAAGAGAAGAAAACACTGTCCTACGTGTATGGACCACGGGATTCGAGGTTTGGTACGACATTAGAAGACATGTTGGACTGTTTATGATAGCCATCGAGCTCCCAAGATGAAAAAGTAATGAGGGGCTCGTGTTAGACAAACTGTAACATATTAATCTCTGCCCACCAGACGATATTAAGGCAACAAAATCAAATATTTCAAAGTAAAACGCTCCGGAATACCACAAGAAATACTGGTGAAACCAGGAGCATCAAAAAGATGGAGAACAATAGGGCTAAACAAGGATAGGAATGTTGAACGTTTTGCAAAAAATGATTTTAAAATACACGTATGTTGGTAAGATTGACTTGAGACCATTTCAGTTATATCAAGGATTATTAGCAGCTAGTCGTAAAATCCAATACACACATTTCGTCTGATTTGGGAGTCCTCAGTAGATTGCAACCAACCACTCACTTCCAAGGACAATGATGGGTGCTGGGTTTGATTTTCAGTGGGAACAAGAACGCTGGCTGGGACCCAGGTATATCAGAAAAGACGACTTCTTAAGAGGATAAAACAAGCATTTTGGATTCCACTGCTAGTCACCACTCACAATTACTAGAATGAAACCACCGACCATATCGAAGCATTTTAGTGAGAGATTACATGAAGACAGCGGTCGGTCAGGTTCGTCCAAAAAAACCAACAATGAGAAGTAAATGATAGTAACAATATCGTCTCAATTGCACTTCGAGACCATTGGTTTTACCTTCTCCTGAGACCAATCTGTGAAGACTATAAATTCCTGTATATCTTACACCAAAGATGAACATTGTCACGTAACGTCTGTTTTGACGTATCTGTCTATCGGCTTTGTGAAACTTTTCTGGCTCAAGTTAAAATAGCATATTGAAATGGGTAGTAGTCTAATGTGGATTACCAATATTGTGACCGTTGTAGACAGCAAGCTGTATTGAATCAACGCTTGATTTTTCTTCAAATTTCCAAAACGAGAATGTCGCTTATCCGGTGGCTTTCTCGTATGAATTGATATAAGTAAGAAAACTGTTACATATATTCAGTTTACCATTACCTTGTGTACCGACAGTAATAAAGAAGCTATAGGAATTTAGACACTGATATGCAGAAAATTGAAGGTACTGTCACAATATAAATAACCTAAGAGCTCCAATCAGCTGATCAGAGGACTGAATACTGCAATGAGCAAGACATTCCAAAATTACTGACTTACTTGTCTGACGAACATTCCTGTATACAAATGGCATAAATACTTGCAGCTTCTTCAGAGGACCCACTGAAGAAGAGATCCCCCAAATCTTCTGGGTAATACTTTTCTATAAATTCGATGAAACACTACAGTTGGTACCTGAGGTTTCGCTGATGACATATTCCAAGTAACAACCTGAATATCTATGTTGTTACTCGGAATCATTTTGTTGAGTTCCTTAGTTCCCAACAAAGAGCCAGCACCTCCAGCTATACTCCCGACTAAGTAATTTCTGGTAAGTGTTATAGGCAGGTAGCACACTTACTTGGTAACCAATTCGCTCTTTGATGCTGTACACGATGAAAAAAGGGAAGAAACACTTCCCGAAGGTCGGAGATTGTATCCACAAGAGATATTTGAATTATCTGCAGCTTCTGCTGTAGGGAAATTGAGTTCAACCCGTAGGCCCGGGGACATTTCACACTTGATTCCACACGTTCCATCAAACGACGGAAACTCAGAGACTCTTACAGAGGCATGGTAAGCAAGCTCACAAATCACGTCGGTTCATATTAAGCACGTTTATCTGTAGTCTAGGCCTTACAACTTCAGTGAAGTAAAACAATCATAAGGAGGGAGGGAAAATGTTGACTGCACGAGTTTGAATCTGACTAAGTTGACAACATGGTGAAAACATTTTGGGGAACTATTGTTATATTTCACTATGTGACAACTCACTATCTGTGGCTCCTACAAAGACAAAACACTGTACACTTTGTATTTCAATATCCCCTCTTTATCACTTACTTTGACCCTCCTGCTGCAACGATGTCCGAAAGGGGCACAGGTTTTCTACATAAACCACCAGACCTCCTCAGCTTTTCGTTCTTAGAGTGTGTTACCACCTGACTGGAAATACGTGATACCCTTCTCTTCGTATACGAGGGAGGTAATAAGCCCACTCCCGAAAACTGTACGCCAGTCCTCGTATTGCCAGCATGGGGAATTGCGGGGCTCCGGTGGTTTGCACTAAAGATTGTTATTTTTACCTGAAAACATCTCCGAAAACCATCTTTTACCCACTTCTGGCTCGAAGGAAAGGAGAAGGTGGACGAACAGTTTTGGGAGTGGGCTTAATACCTCCCTCGTATACGAAGAGAAGGGCATCACGTATTTCCAGTCAGGTGGTGACACACTCTAAGAACGAAAAGCTGAGGAGGTCTGGTGGTTTATGTAGAAAACCTGTGCCCCTTTCGGACATCGTTGCAGCAGGAGGGTCAAAGTAAGTGATAAAGAGGGGATATTGAAATACAAAGTGTACAGTGTTTTGTCTTTGTAGGAGCCACAGATAGTGAGTTGTCACATAGTGAAATATAACAATAGTTCCCCAAAATGTTTTCACCATGTTGTCAACTTAGTCAGATTCAAACTCGTGCAGTCAACATTTTCCCTCCCTCCTTATGATTGTTTTACTTCACTGAAGTTGTAAGGCCTAGACTACAGATAAACGTGCTTAATATGAACCGACGTGATTTGTGAGCTTGCTTACCATGCCTCTGTAAGAGTCTCTGAGTTTCCGTCGTTTGATGGAACGTGTGGAATCAAGTGTGGGTGGGTTGAGTTGCAAATCTTCGAGACCGGTGGATAACAGCGTCACTTTCCCTGCAGTCTTCTTTTTATCACTTACTCATCTTGGGAGCACGATGGCTATCAGAAACAGTTCAACATGCCTTCTAATGTCGTACCAAACTTCGAATTCCCTAACACGAACCCTAACGCCATTAGAAGACGAAGTTTATCTGAAAAATGTTATTTATTTGCGCAACACATTTCGAACAATCTGATCACACATTTACTTGTCAAGTGAATTTATATATAAAAAATAAAGGTCAAATATAGTGAAAATGAAAAGGTTGTGACACTAGTCTTGGTAATATAATCAGATAAGAATTACGAAGGTAAATGTATTGCGCAAATACATCACATTTTTCAGATAATCTTCGTCTTCTAATAGCGTTATCGAAATTTATTAAAGGGGCTAATTGTTTCAAATAATCATTTTCACCAAGAGGAGCAACGTGCTGGATGTAGCCCACTTTTTGTCCTTGTGAGACAACATAATTCACTACTCTAAACAAATGACTTATACTATTTGCATTTCTTCAATTGGTGGGGCATGCTCATAATCGTATCGGGTTGCTGCTGTGATGTGCATTATAAGAGCAAGGAAAATTGATTTCTTGTATTCTTTTCTGTTCCTCTCAGAGAATAAAGTTCTTCTCCAATACCCTCGTCAAATGATTGTCGTCTGGTGTAATATCTTCGTGATATTTCGTGATTTATTTCTCGTCTAATAAACGCAAACTGCGACTTACTTTTCGTCTGCGCATGAGCTTCACGAACCGTGATTTGTGTAGACGTGTTGCCCCGGATGTATTCGAAGATATTTATTCCAATTTTGCAGGTATGTAGATGGAAATATTGGCCTCTCTTCTACAATATACTTCAACATCATGAATAGTAGGTGTGAAGAGATAGAAACGTGCATTTGCTACACATTTCCGGAAACAGCAATGTGGTGAGATTCGTAAACAATTCGTCAAACACACCCCATTGTTCGGACTGCAGAAGCCACTGTGTTACGTCATCGCCCAAAAATTCAGCAACCGTTGGAAGAGAAGATTTGTAACTAAATTTTGCACACACATTTTGATGTGAAGAAACCTTTTCACAGGGTTCACTCACGATTTGAATGTACATTTGTCGTCTGGTGATCAAGTCTTTTGGATTTGGTTGGTTTCACTTTGGACTTGCCAACTCTGCAGATTTGAATCTTCGCTACTCTGTACTCGGTGGATTTGCAGTAACATAACATCTTCAAATTGGCTCGTCTCCTTCGGCTGACGATTTGGATCATCCTCTGTTGTTAACAGGCTTCAACATCCGGGACATTATGCTCCTTTCGATATGTTTTTTAATCACAGGAATCAAGCTTCTGTACGCTATACTCATTGAATTTACCGTAACAATCCCTTTGACTTTTAACCTCTCCGGTGTTCTGTCAATTCGATAATTTTTTCTGCTTTTCGCATGCCTAGGCGATAAGACATGATGGTTGAGAAAATCCCAAATTAAAGCATCAAGTTTGCTTCGGTGTACGTTTCTGCAACCCGCGGTCATGGTTTGTCAATCACATAAAATATAGAGAGTGGCAGGTGGTTACCGTGATCTCAGAAGCAGGAAAAATTTATGGCGCATAGCGGGAAATTAAATGGCTCGTAGGAACAAAGACAATCTCTCCTCATTACCATTGTTTGATTCTTTTATATTTTCTTTTTCATTTCTTGTCAGTATTTTGGTTTCATTGAAGACGAAGACTGTCGTCTGGAACCCTAGAAGGTTTGAAACTGGCTGGAAAATATTTGATGTCCTGGAATCATCGATGAAGAAAAATAAATAAACAATTCGTGCATACAGTCCCTCGTTACCATTTTATCATTATCCTAAACAAGAAGTTCAAACCGTTACTATGAACGTATTTGCTTCAAACTTTATTTTTCCCCAGTTAATGCACGCAATGTCTCGACACAAACCTGGTTTTTGCCAGTACAAGGACAATACTCCCATTTGTCCAGCTTGCAAATCCTTGCGCACTTATTCTGCTGGGATGTCCCATTATATAAACACGCAGCACTACAATCTTCTGGCAACAGAAGGTGGGGAGTGAGACAACCTTCCATGAGGATACATGTAATTTATGTGGTAAATTGTTCATACCTGTAAAAATGGTGTGTGTCTGTATATTCATGAATAAATATCATTATTATCATTATTTGTAGCCGTTACGTTTTCACGAAACTCATGTCGCGTGAAAAAATATATTACTTAGATTACGGTAAGCTGAAATTCAGGTTTTGAAATAAACTTAACTAGGATCCATGAATGTAACAGACAAAACGATTACTTATGGTTGTCTGTTGACCATTACGAATTCTTAGAAGAAGGTTCGTGTTTATCACCACTGAGAATCATTCAGGCGGCTACTTTGCGACAGACGAAACTTTCATTTGATGTTTTTGTTGGCTGAATTTTGTTGCTTTCCCTGCAAAAGCGTGCTTGGTTTCCTAGGTGCGTATTTTCCCTTCGTTTACTATTATGTTGACGGTGAAATATCCATCCATAACTTTAGTGATGGGAATTGACGTCATAGAGCGCTTGATAGCCCTCCCTGACCGAACGTACCTGAACGGAGACCACCTTGCAGGGCAACTAGGTCTCTTGAACCTTGTTCGGCTTGCGTCAGTTCAATGAGGTGTCTGCTTATGGTGTAATATCACTTGTGCGGGAGGATTCATAAAGACAAGTACGTTGACCAATATATGACAGAGTGGCCTGGTTAAATATAGGGCTGTCGTCAACGTATTGATGCTGGCATGCAGTGAGACACTTGCGGCAACTTGCCGGATGATGAATGAGGGGACATGACTCAAAAGCGACATGCTAAATTCAGCAGGTTCTGCCACAAGACGCATCACCATGGCCTCAAGTCTGAGGCAAAATATGACCTTGTGAATGCAAAACACGACAAAGGAAGGCAGAATAAAGTAGACAATCGATCGGAGAAACGTTCATGAAAAAGTAGGATACCTGAGGGCGCAGCCTGACGCCACGAAATTTGATTTCGAAGGTCGGTAAATAGAACGATCGCTCAAGTCACATAGTGAGAGCAAGGGACTAGTATGAGTGAACATATGGCGCACTCCAGTTGCTCAATAATTCTCACAGTTCAACAGTCTTGGAGCAAGACCCCTTCGTTAGCGGGGAACGAGGCGGATTTTGGGAAAGATGTCGGGAATTTGGTATTCACGTCCCATATACAAGACAATAAAGGTGGATTTTTGGCCATTTAGTGGGTCTATGGGATCCCGGAAGACTTCTTCCTGAAGTCTGTGTTGATGATGATGACAACGGAGGCTTCACGATTAAACCATCCAATTCAGGGGAAAAGCATGGTCAAAATGCCAATGTTCTTCACACAGACTGGGATCTTCCTTCAGCTCTACGACACACTGCCGCGTGTACATATAGTTGTGACTACTTTGATAAAACCTTCATTTCTTTACAAAAATAATAACAATGGGACGTGTTGAACGGTGAGTTATACGAGCACGCGCCATTTTTGAAGGTAGTGTCTACATGTTATTTTTCCCAGTGAAACTGAGAAGGCTTAAAAAGAATATGTCATTATTTAAAGTCCCCCGGAGTAAGCAGTTGGTTAGATATTGCTGGCTACAAATATCGGGAAGAAACCATTTCGCTTAACAGCAACAATGAAAATTAATATGCGTGTTATCACTCATTATGAGCAGCGTCCTGTTAACAGTGATTTATGTAACCGGTAAGGGTAAATTGCATATCGAATGTCGAGCACAAATGAAACTGAAAATATGCTAGTATTCAATTAATTTGTGCTATCTACAGATAGCATACGAAACCAGAGTTAGATGCTAGGATAGACGGCAGAGGTGGGTGGAAGTTTGGAGTAGTATCGTATGGTGTCATGTGGAGTTTAACGAT